TTATTGACTTCCATCTTCATACGAATTAAAAATGTTTCAATGAATATGACTTATTATACATCAGTTTCTATGTAGATTGACCAATACTAATATAATCTAATAAAAATACGTCGCAATTTCCATATAAATAATTCACAATACTATCTATATGTGAACGATGGAAACTTTTGCATACCCCTAATAACATAATTTAAATAAAAGGAAAGCTGATATATAATTTTTTTTTCCCACCTTGCGTTTCTTCGTAAGACTCGAGACATGTTGGCTAGCTATTTTTAAATATTTGAGTGAGAACGGAAAAGAATGGAAGAAAAGAAAAAATTTTACTTGCATACTTCACCTCATTTCACCTCATTCATTAAATTTTATTATACAGGGTCATCAAAAAGTGTCGGACCACCATAATATCTTCAGTTAGAATGCATTTTGGAGAAAATGTCCAATGGCACAGTTATATGGTTTCAAGCGGGGAGTAAGATGATGACCTTGACATTGACCTTGACCATGTCTTTCAAGGTAATTTTAAGGTCAACCTTATTTTTTTTAATGGAACTCCCAACATTTTATTACATATTCTTATAGCTTATCTCGAGAGCTTTCCCAAACACTATAATGAAATATTTCTTCATTAAGTACTTTTTGAGTTATAAAGGTTTTAAGTTAACAATTTGTTAAGTGGTGTGTGATTCCGGCCAGTTAAGGCAAGAGTGGTGTGTGATTCCGACCAGTTAAGGCAAGAGTGGTGTGTGATTCCGACCTGTTAAGGTAAGAGTGGTGTGTGATTCCGACCAGTTAAGGCAAGAGTGATGTGTGATTCCGGCCAGTTAAGGCAAGAGTGGTGTGTGATTCTGACCAGTTAAGGCGAATTTCATTCCAATTGGTCAGCTTGGGCAAAATATTCAATTGTACCAAACAATTCACAACAAATGTTCAAATTGTTGCCCTTCAACAGCCTGGCAGTGTGCCAATCTGTTATAAACAGCTGAAACCGCATTCCGGAACGTTCCCGGCGGTATTAGTTCTATCTCTCGAGTTATTCTCCTTTTTAAATCATCTAAATCTTGAAGCTTGGTGACATAAACTTTACTTTTCAAGTAATCCCACAAAAAAAAATCAAGTAAGGTCAAGTCCGGAGACCGGGATGGCCACTCAATATGACCCCTTCGCCCTATCCACCTGTCCTGAAAGACCTCATTCAAATATTGACGGACAATGACATCATAATGAGGTGGAGCTCCATCCTGTTGGAAATAAATTTCATCCATATTTCCACCAGCTATGTCTCGAATAGCTGGAACAATTTGTTCGCGAAGCAGGACTGTGTATACTTGTGCTGCCAAATTGCCTCCAGTGAAGAAAGGGCCAACTAGTCTACTATTAAGAATACCAGCCCATACGTTAACTTTTTGTGGATATTGGGTATGATTGTTGGATATTGGGTATGATTGTCTCTTTTCCACTGAGGATTAACGTCACTCCAGTATCTACAATTGTGTCTATTTACATTTCCAGTCAGTTCAAATGTTGCCTCATCAGAGAAAACAATATTATTAAGTAATAGAGGATCGTCGACAATCATCTCCATCATAAGATCACAAAATTCGATGCGTCTATCAAAATCGTCTTCGGACAACTCTTGGACCAAAAGGAGTTTGTATGGATGCCATTTATTCAATTTCAGAATTTTACTGACAGATGCATGATCGATTTCGTGTTCTTGTGCAACGCGATTGATGGAAATGTGGGGACTTTCAACGAAAGACTATAAAACATCTAATGCCTTATCATTATTTGTTGCTGTTTTACGTCTACCAGATCTTGGGTGGCTTTTAACGCTACCAATGTCTTCGAAACGTTGAATAATACGGATTACAGTACTTTTAGATTACAGTACTCTTTGTAGATTATAGTACTTTAGATTATAGTACTCTTTGTTGATCTCCCCATCCTTGCATCATTAACAGTGGTATTCGATCTCTTTCAGAAAGCTCCGTTATTCTTAATTAGAGCAAAGAAGAATTAATCAAGTAAGTGATAGGAAATTGATCTAAATAATTAAGTAGAGAAAAATACTAATTATTAAGTGTTGGTCCAACTATCGATTTGTTTATTTCAACCAGCACTAGCAAAAAACTCGTTGAGCAACTGAAAATCTAATTGATCAATTAATAATATTTACGAAAATATTCTGGGCTATTGGAAACAAAATGAAGATGTTTGGGACAATCAATTGAAGCTCAATGGCTTCTTTTGTTACAGAAACAATTTTTGGGGCTGTTCGTTTTCGTCCACGAGTGACTGCTGCTCGCTAAGAAGAAGACAGTACTGCATCAAAGATTCAAATCAGTGATCCGCATTGTTTACTCAAGAGCTTGTATTACTATTGGTGCCTGCGAGAGTGAGACAATAAAGATCGGCCCCGCCAACGCTTTCGAGCAGATTCCCGCTAACGCCTTCGGACATCACGCATTCGAGAAGCTTCTCGCGATCACCTTCGGGCAGTTTTCCGCCATAGCCTACTAGCATAACCGCTTGAAGCCGTACAACTTTGCTATTAGACATTTTTCCAAAATGCATTCTTACTGAAAATATTAGGGGGAGCTGATACTTTTCGATTAATGTATTTTCTTTAAACCAATTAATTGGTCTCATTATTTCGCGCACAAAAGTATTAAGGTTATGATTACTGAAAACTAAATAATATTTTAGAAGATATTTTACATTTTGTATCAAAAAATTGTTAACTTCAAACCTTTATAACTCAAAAAGTACTTAATGAAAAAATGTTTTATTATAGTGTTTTGGAAATCTCTCGAGATAAGCTATAAGAATATGCAATAAAATGTTGGGGGTTCCATTAAAAAAAAAAGTTGACCTTGAAATGACCTTGAAGAACAAGGTCAAAGTCAAGGTCATCATATTACTCCCCACTTGAAGCCATATAACTTTGCTATTGGACATTCTCTCCAAAATGCATTCTAACTGAAGATATTAGGGGGGTCCGATACTTTTCGATGACCCTGTATGAATTATATATTATCTTTTCTTTCTATATACATGGTGTCCTAAAATTGTAATACACCAACTCCATAGGGGCATAGAGCTAAGTGAGAGGAACGAAAAAGTCTTCCATTTAGCGATATTTCACATAATTTTTTAGTAATAACCGCATAAAGTTTGGCGTTAATCACGCCTTTCGCAGTCTATAGACGCTCTACGGCGTTAAAGCACCAAGACGCCATCGCGACGGTCAGCACGAGACGTGTTAGTGCGCAGCTTCGACACACAGCCTGCCGCGGAGCGTTTATAGGCTGCGATAGGCATGACAAACGTCAAACTTTATGTGGTTATTATTAAAAAAACTATAAGAGATATCGCTAAATGGAACAGGACTTTTTCGTTCCTCTTATTTAGCTCTAAGCCTCTATGGAATTGGTGTGTTATAATTTTGGGACACCCTATATATAGTTTGAGCAAAAAGTCCCAGACTTAACAAAAGTCAGGGGGCTTGTAACAATATATTTTTGAAACCAATAGTACAGTACAGTAAAAGAATTTAGTACCACTTTTTCTTCCGACAAATAGTTAGCGAGATATCGTAAGTTAAATATTGCAGAAGTTAGTAGGTTTTTCTTAAATATCTAAAACACATATTAGGCAAATGATAAATATATATTAGACAGAAGTTGTTCAAATTCATTGATAGAAAAATATGATATAATAAATAAACCTGGGGTTTCTATTTAAAAAAATTAAGTTGACCTTGACTTAACCTTGGTAACGCCACTCAAGGTCAAACTGATAAGATCAATAAATACATCGTTTTGAGCCCTGTAACTTTTATCCAGGATATTTTTCTTAAGAACTTGATCCTTCAAAGTTATTCAGGTGTTCCGGTATTTTTCCTCACTGTATAAACAGTTTTCCACCTGTATATACACAGTGCCCGGTAATTAGCTGCCAACCCGAGGTGTGAAGGTAGATTGGGTTAAGACAAATATAAAAGTCTCGTATCGTTTCTGCGAGATTCGCAATAATTATCGAGTTATTAATTACAGAAATCTGACGAGTGAGCGCGCGTTGAGACGGACGATTGAAGAAACGTCGCAGCCTCTCGGGTTACAGCGCGGCCCAATCGACCTAGCAACTATTGGCGGCGTGCGACGAGAAGTGCAGCGAGATAAAATACCAATAGCAGCACATTATCCTTCCCCTCGCCGCGTACCGGCAATAGTTGATGGAGCAACTGGGCCGTGCTGTGGTCCGAGCGGCTGCAACGCTTCTCCAATCATCTATGTCGGTGCGCTCCCACTCTTCAGATTTCTGTCATTAATAACTCGATAATTATTGCAATTCTTGCAAAATTGTATTTTACTTTTTTTCAGCTTAACCCAATCTACCTTCATACTTCGAATTGGCAGCTAATTACCGGACACCCTATATAATTATACAGGGTATCTCATAACTAATGTTGCAGAGCTCGTGGAGACATAGAACGGGTTAAGACAAATATAAAAGTCCCATACCGTTTTGCGAGATTCACGATAATTATCGAGTTATTAATTACAGAAATGTGACGAATGAGCACGTTGAGATGGATGATTGGAGAAGCATCGCAGCCTCTCGGGTCATAGTGCGGCCCAGTCAACTGTTGGCGGCGTGCGGCGCGACGTAAATGTGGTGAGTTAAAACAACGAATAGCGGCGCGTTCCTCTTGCCGCACACCAGTAACAGTTATTGGATCAATTGGATCGTGCTGTGGCCTGAGCAGCTGCAACGTTTCTCCAATCGTCTAGTCGGCGCGTGCCCACTCCTCAGATTTCTGTTATTAATAACTCGATAATTATTGCGATTCTCGAAAAATTGTACTTTTCTTTTCAGCTTGACCCAATCTATCTTTATACTTCGGGTTGGCAGCTAATTACCGGATACTCTATATATAGTAATATGCAGTAAAATGGCAATTGGAGTTGTATAAAATTTTCTTTAATTCTTCCCAGAGAAACTCGTGGCCCTTCACAACCCAGGGAACAAAATCAATCGAAACAACGGGATACGGAGAATGCACCAATGGAACAGCAATACGGAACGACAATCATCCTATTTCCGCAATGGTTTTAGGTTTTTATGCTGTGCCGCGAGCACAAATTACGTTTAACGTATAATTCGTTTTACTTCGTTCTTAAAAGTGATATTTTTATTTATATGTAAATAATGATACAATAATACAATAATTCTGATGCTAGATTTCTCAAATGAAAATAGAAATTAATTGTATTTGGATTCTGACCATGAACAAGACAATTGTTAAGGGCACATTTGTTTAATTTAGGAAGTACTTAAAAAAAGCAAATGCCAGCTGCGAAAATTTAGTGCCACTAAAAAAATTTCAAGATAATTCTTTTCTGAAAGTACTTTGAGAATGCACATAATATATTGCTAATGCCCAGAATCTTAAATAATCATTTGCTAGCAGGGATCTACAATTGAGAGTATAATTTCTATTAATAGTAAAGACGGAGAAAGATCATATAAATATGGATACGGAAACATTTTCTTTGTAAACTTTTTATTTGTTACAAGAATTTGTAAGAATATACACATGATTGAAGATATGACATTAACGTAGAAGTTTCTCTTTTGACTAAAAAAGGCTACTGAAATAGGTTCCCTCATGCTATTATATATTATATACTTTAGTTTGATATCTCATTGATTATTAAGAATCTTTAAAAATATCTAGAATACACTAAAAATGTTTCACACAAACAACAATATAATTTCAAAGAACTCCATGATAAATTATCTGATTACTAATATAGCTATTGTTTACTTGTAACAAGAAGTAAATAATAACAGTATTTCTAATTTTAAACTCACCATATATTTCATACTTTGTCATAAACGAAATGCGATTATACTGAAATTTAAGAGTTTCCATATTTACATTTCATACTCCACATTCATATAATCTTTGTTCCATTTTTACAGCGAATAAACTATACTCTTGAATTTTATATTTTCTAAGCTTACTTTATATATGTTTTAAAAGCATGGACTAATGGATGATTATTACTATAAAAATTATAAATTTAGATGTACATATGACGAACAATCTAATAAATGATAAATTGGATATATAAAATGTCTGGTCATAGGTGTTAGATAAACGTTCCTATGCATATAGGACTCATTAAATCAAATAAGAAAATACCTTATTATTTTGTAAATATTAATATATTGAAATATTAACGAAAGAAAATTAGTAAATCAGTATGCGCATTGCAGTAAGATAAGCTCTATAGGTAATTTAAAGAGACATGTCTTAAGCTTGTTGAGTGTTTCCTAACAACGGCAGAAATTGGACCATGAAAAGTAGGGTAACAGTTCAACGTTATATGCATGATTTAAAGCCGTACACCTTTGTTGTTATTAGAAGATTAAGAATCAAATCCAAATGTCTTTTTAAATTGTTTTACATCGTGCGTATTAAATGACTAATGTTTTCTCATTAATATCTCGATAATTACAAAATGGTACAAGATTTTTCTGTTTAGTTTAAGTTCTACCTGCACACAAGCGCTTGAACACTTAAATCCAGACACGCGCGTATGTATGTGTATATTGCTGATGCTATAACATTCATGTTCTGTGCTCCTTTTTACTATAAGATTTGTTATCATTAAACTAAATATGTAAACTTTAACGTAATTATCACATATTGTTCCATTAATCTATACTTCAGATTAAATTCAGTGTGCACAATAAGATATGTATTATTAACAATATACTAAATGACCATTTAACAGTAATATTGTAGATATAGACCTCTAGCAAATTATTATTTTGTATATCTGTTCTGGGGTATCTCTACACTCGCTAAGAATAGTAAATAATGAATGTGGCAACAATCAGCAGACACCATGATGCCTAATCGAGGCCTAAACTTACTGGAGAGAAAGACACGATGAGAAAGAAAAGAGAGAGGGAGGGGGAGGAGGCTGAGAAGAAAGAAAGAAAGAGAGTGACAGAGAGGGATATCTTTAGAACAAATTTTTAACATAGCTGGTGACAATCAAAGCAAAAGTTTCGAGATTATAATCCCGAAATTATTAAGAAAATGTACTACAACGGCGATGAATATTAATTGCCTAATGGATAAACACAAGTAGCAAAAAAAGAAATTTTGGCACTTTTTATGTCTCTAACATACGAAATCCAGTACTTCTTTATTTTCTTCTCTTTTTATTTTTCGTCAAATATTTTTCTTTTGTATCTTCCACAAACTTGCGGAAAAGAATGTGCCGAGGAATCTTTCATTAACGTTTGTTAAATTATTAATCTTATTAAGATGATTTCCGGCTTGTAATTCAAATCATCATAAATCTTATCTTATCGACCGCAATATTTTTAAAATTTTCTGCGTATCAATTTTGTAATGTTTACGTTCGATGTTTATATTCGATAATGTTTATATTGGTAATCTAAACGGTATATCTCGCAATCAAAATTAGTTCGCAATCGGTTCTTAAATTTTATGAGATTTATATAAAACGAAGAAAAAAGGGAAGGAGGGAGGGAGAGAAAGAGGGGGAGAGATGGAGGGAGGGAGGAGAGGGAGGGAGAGAGAGAGAGAATCACGTGAATCTAAATAAATCTCATCTAAATATATTATCAGAGAGCAATACGCGTATACACTTAAACAGTAGATGCACTTGTGGAACAATTATATTCTATTATATTTATAAATAAGTGGACCAACTTCAATCTATTTATAATGCGACAAATATGCATAGTCTTGTATGTTTTGCATCGCCTATACAGGGTGGTTGATTATAAGTTGCCAACCCGAAAGGTGAAGGTAGATTGGGTTAAGATAAACATAAAAGTCCCATTCCATTTTGCGAGATTCGCAATAATTATCGAGTTATTAATGACAGAAATCTGAGGAATGGGAGTGTGCCGACATAGATAATGGAGAAGCGTTGCAGCTGCTTAGATCACAGAGCGGCCCAGTTGATCCAGCAACTGTTGCCGATGCGCGGCGAGGGGAAAGACAATGCTCTGCTATTCGTTGTTTTATCTCGCCAGACCTACGTCTCGCCGCACGCCGCTAACAGTTGCTTGGTCGAGTGGGCCGCACTGTGGCCTGAGTAGCTGCAACGCTTCTCCAATCATCTATGTCGGTGCGCTCCCATTCCTCAGATTTCTGTCATTAATAACTCGATAATTATTGCGAATCTCGCAAAACGGTATGGGACTTTTATGTTTATCTTAACCCAATCTGCCTTCACATTTCGGGTTGGCAACTTATAATCAACCACCCTGTATACAGAGTATCTGACTCATGTTCATGTGCACGTCCACTTATGTACAAATGAAACTCATCAAATTAGGTAAAAAATTTCTTTACCATTTTGCAAATAATACGTAATATTTTGAGTTGTTAATTAAAGAAAATTGACAAATGAGCGCGCGTGATGCGGGGACAAACTCTTTAAGCTCGTTCAAAACGAAGTTCCATCTAAAATGTTTGAATCAATAAATAAATTTTTAGCAATGACGAACACTATACAGGGTGTTTGATAGCTGATCATGCAGACGAAAGTTGGAGATAGATTGGGTGTAGCCGAGAAGAAAAGTCATGTACTATAATGTCAAATTGGCAATAGTTACCGAATTATTAATTAAAACATGTGAGCCAACGAGCGCGTAGAGAGCGGAGGGCGACCGCAGTAAGCCCGTAGACATTTGATACAGGCGGAGTCAGTGAGTGTCGATAGGCAAGCGCGCGCGGCGAGGGGCAACGTAAGCGACAAGAGGCGATCGCGCGCGACGAGGAGCGAGCGAGCTTTTTCTTTATAGCTTTTTCCTTATAGCTCGCTCGCTCCTCGTCGTTCGCGCTCGCTCGCTCTTCGTCGCGCTCGCTCGCTCCTCGTCGCGCGCGCTCGCCTCTTGTTGTTTACGTTGCCCCTCGCCGCGCGCGCTCGCCTATCGTTACTCGCTGACTCCGCCTGTATCAAATGTCTATGTGCTTACTGCGGGCGCCCTCCGCTCTCTACGCGCTCGTTGGCTCACATGTTTTAATTAATAACTCGATAACTATTGCCAATTTGACATTATGGTATATGACTTTTCTTCTCGGCTACACCCAATCTATCTTCAACTTTCCTCTGCATGATCAGCTATCAAACACCCTGTATAACGTAAAATAATGAAGACATATATTCAAGGTTGGGTAGTGACTAGTTAATCAGTTAAAAATTAAGTAAAAAAAATTAATAACTTTTAACTTAACTTAGTTAATTTTAAACATGTTAACTTACATGTTAACATGGTAACTTTTTATTACTTAAATTAATTATTTTTAAATATAATACATTAACGTTAACTTATTAACTCTTTTCAAGTCGCAAATTAAAATAATTCATCAATATTAAAGTTGTGTGAAAATAGTCCACAATAATTATTAAGGAATTAATTAAACAATATTAATGAACATGTGTGCATGTTATGGCGGAATGATTTCTGCAAATAAAGTCTCTTTATGACTCAAATCTGTTAATGATCTGACAAAGGCAAAAAATGTATGATGGGATAAGATATTGGAGTTATGAAGTTAATACCATGTAGCGGTTGCTGTTGTTAATAGATTATCAACAAATTTGAGGCATTTTGGAAGAAACCTTGTTTACAAAATTCATCCTTCCACTTTCCGCGTATTCATTTGCTAATATTATTTAATTAATTCCTTGATAAGTATTCTAGAATTCATAAAATATTTAATTAGTTCTTTTTGATAAAAATTCGTAAAATGATACAGGATATTCTTGTTCAGTTTGATTCATTCTACTTGCATGCAGGCATATTGTCTTTCATTACTTTTAATTGTTTTTAATTGAATGTTTTCTTTTCAAACATTCTAATCTTTCTATTATAATTATTGTACTTTATAAATAACATACCCAGACAGCACCGGACATCCAATGGATGTACGTTTCACGTCCAATTTATGTCCGCATGTCCGATTTACGCCCGTGGACATAAATTGGGCGTAACAAGGATGTCCTTATTGGATATCGGACCTGTAGGACGTCCGATGTATGTCCATCGGACGTCCTATGTCCGAAGTTGTGACAAACATACGTCCTATGGACGTCTTTTGTAAAAAAATGGACATATAATGGACGTCCAATGGACATCCGTGTGCTGTCTGGGTATATTATTAAAAGAAGGAAAAATTATCTCTTTTATAAAATACTATCTTTTTATTATTTTACCTAAATTTAACATACAATTAAAAGGTTAATTATTTAAAAAAACGTATAATTTAATATGATTAACTTTCAACTTTAATAAGTTAGTTTTATTTTTTAATTCATTTTTTGACTAAAAAAGCGTTTTTTGGAATAAATTCGTTTCTAAAAAAAAACCCTCTATAAACATACTGCTTTTTCATCTAAATTTATGTTTTTGAGGCCGCTGATTACTAATCCGTTATCAGATTTGGGAAAATAAAGTATTTTTTGTTATAAACAAAATATTGAAGCTAAATTTCGAAAATTTATAGAATTGCGCTGAAAGTTGATATTCTAAGTATAGTTTTTCTACAAAGAAATAGTTTTCTATATTATATTTATTATTTTGAAGTCGGTAATTATGAATCCGTTGATAAATATTTGTTATATTAGTATTTTTTATGAAACATACAAAAATTAAT